CATAAAATTCATACAAATTACCCGGTCAGAATTTAATTTACATTGCTGGAATTCTTATGATTTGGTGATCATTTTGAATATAAACATCATATATTTTGCATTAGACATACAAATTTTAGATAAAATTTTTTCTCTGGGTAACTATGTTATCTTTTGTGCAAAATATATGACATTTATATTCAAAATATTCCTGGTCTTACAAGGAATCCAGCAATGTCAATTGTATTATCCTAACTTTAGTTTGAGGTATTATTTATTAAAATTTAGTGGTTTTCCCCCAAAAATTTCTCTGAGAGGGAAGAGCTGGCAGTGTAGTGTGAGAGGGGGAGGGAGTTGAGTCCATTATTTGAATGGACATTAACTTGGCGACTGTATTTCTCTATTTCTCTTAAGTATTAATTGTGTGCATGTACCATCATAAAATTAAGATGTTATTTTTACTACAACATAGGTATGTGCCTTCAAAAAGTGGAGTTTGGGGGTCGGGCCGGTTTCTATTGGAATTAATCCCATATGTTGTGTTGTTCACTTAACGCGGATTTCACTTAACACGGGACCCTCTGGGTTCAATTGACCGCGTTAAGTGGGGTACAACTGACAGTACAACAGTTTTTAACTGAAAACCATTCGAAAAGCGATTACGGTAAAATATTTGAACAACGAAGAAAGCAAAAGTCATTGTTTTCGTCATGATTTTATCCCACTTCCACTGTGTAATATGTCCGTCATTTCAGCAAAATATTACATTTCCATATTTATTTCTGAGAATATATTCATTCAGTCACAGTTAAGGTAAAATATACTTATGATGTAATATTTTAATGAAAATAAGGTATCAGTAGTTTTCTTTTTGTTTCAAATTTAATTAACAAAGATTGATGTTTCAAATGTAATGAACAAAAATTTATGTACAGTATCTATAAATAAACTTTAAAAATGAATATTTTATGTTTTACATCGCCCTGTGCTACCATACCATGCATTTGGCTACTTTGGTTTGCTATGATGACGAAGAGATCTGCCCTAGCAACTGGTGGTGCGTTGGTGCATCGTTCCGTTGTTTACTGGTAGTTACTGGTAAATATTTTTCAACCTAACGAAATTATTACCAGTTTAGAGGTCGGCCCCTAATTTTTTGCCAAATAATTTGGTCTTAAAACCCGAACTACACACAGGTATATACTCTGTAATAAGGACATATGGGGGGCAGCAAAATACACGATTTTAACATTCATTGGTATCTCTGTTACCTAACCCCAGTATGTTGAGGGCCGACTGTGTGTATATATATATATATATATATATACAGGTACCCCACTAACGGGTCAATTGAACAGAGGGTCCTGCTAAGGAAACCACGCGTAAGTGAATAACAGAACATATGGATTAATTCAATAGAACCCAGCCCGACCCCCAAACTCCACTTTTGACACAATAACTATGTTAGTGTATAACATCTTAATTTTATGATGGTACATGCACACAATTAATACTTAAGAGAAATACAGTCGAAGTTAATGTCCATTCAAATAATGGACTCAACTCCCTCCCCCTCACACTACAGTACACAGCCAGCTAACAGATGGTCGGTCAGTCCTTCCTCCCCCACCCCCACCAACCGTCCCAAGGAGATGTGTGGGATAACCTCAAATCAAAGTTAGAAAAAGGATTCTTTATTTTGAATAATGTTAAAAGATAACATACTACTTCAGATAAACATTTTATCTAAAAATTGTATGTTTAATGCAAAAATATGTTGTTTATATTAAAATGATCACAAATTATAAGAATTCCAGCAATGGGCATGATATTGGCGATTTTATGAGCCAAAAACAAATATCTACAGTTAATAAAAAAAAATATATTCTTCAACACTATCTGTCAATCAAAGTACCCCACCTTCCCTCTTCCAACCCATGGGTCAGTCCCAACCCTCCCACCCCCATCCTCCATTCAAGAGTTTTAACATTTAGTATTAAATAATACTAGATTAAAGTTAGGATAATATAATTGACATTGCTGGATTCCTTGTAAGACCAGGTTGAATATAATATATTTGGACAAAAGATAACATACTTACTCAGATTAAACATTTTATCTAAAAATTGTATGTTTAATGCAAAAATATGTTGTTTATATTCAAATGATCACCAAATTATAAGAATTCCAGCAATGTAAATTATATTCTGACCGGTAATTTGTATGAATTTTATGAGCTAAAACAAATATCTTCAGTTAAAAAATAATTCTTCACCAGGTAACAGATGGTCGGTCGGTTGGTCCCTCCCACCCCCACCAACCGTCCCAAGGAGATGTGGGATAACCACTAATTTTAATAAATATTTTAATATAAATGTCATATTAAAATCATGTTTAATGCAAAAATATGTTGTTTATTCTGTTAATAAACTATATTCTGGCTGGGTAATTTGTATGAATTTTATGAGCTAAAACAGGCAGTCAGGCAGGGTGGCTGGTGGGGGGTGGTGCGAATCTAAAAATAGCTCTCAGAGCGGACACTCACCGGACTCACTGCGTTGCTGATGAAAAATGCCGCGTTAAGTGAAAGTTCAGCTTTGGCAAGGCACCGCGTATATGCGAAAACGCGTTAAGTGAAAGCGCGTTAAGCGGGGTAATACTGTATATATATATATATATATATATATATATATATATATATATATATATATATATATATATATATTATATATATATATATATATACACATACATATATATATATATATATATATATATATATATATATATATATATATATATATATATATATATATATATATATATATATATATATATATATATATATATACACAGTAATACCCCGCTTAACACGGTTTCGCCAGAGCTGAACTTTCACTTAACGCGGGTTTTTTCCACGTATACGCGCAGAGTGTCCGGCTCGAGAGCTATTTTTAGATTCCCGCCACCCTGCCTGACTGCCTGCCTGCCTGTTTTAGCTCATAAAATTCATACAAATTACCCAGCCAGAATATAATTTACATTGCTGGAATTCTTATAATTTGATGATCATTGTGAATATAAACATCACAGATTTTGCATTAGACATACAAATTTTAGATGTAATGTTTACTCTGAGTAAATATGTTATCTTTTGTGGAAAATATATGACGTGTATATTCAAAATATTCCTGGTCTTGCAAGGAATCCAGCAATGTCAATTATATTATCCTAACTTTAGTTTGAGGTATTATTTATTACTAAAAAGGTAAATATTCTGGTTTTCCCACACATCTGGTAGGGACGGTTGGTGGGGGGTGGGGGGGAGGGAGGGACCGACTGGCCATCTGTTACCGTGTGAAGAATATTTTTTTTTTTTATTAACTGAAGATATTTGTTTTAGCTCATAAAATTCATACAAATTACCCAGCCAGAATTTAATTTACATTGCTGGAATTCTTATAATTTGATGATCATTTTGAATATAAACATCACAGATTTTGCATTAGACATACAAATTTTAGATGTAATGTTTACTCTGAGTAAATATGTTATCTTTTGTGCAAAATATATGACGTGTATATTCAAAATATTCCTGGTCTTGCAAGGAATCCAGCAATGTCAATTATATTATCCTAACTTTAGTCTGAGGTATTATTTATTACTAAAAATGTAAATATACTGTTATAACCCAATCATTTCTCTGGTAGGGAGGGAGGGACCCAGGGAGGGACCCAGGGAGCAGGTGGGAAGAGGGGGGGAGGTGGGGTATTTTGATTGACAGATAGTATTTGGGTAAGTATATTTTGTTTATTCATTGAAGATATTTGTTTTAGCTCATAAAATTCATACAAATTACCCGGCCAGAATATAATTTACATTGCTGGAATTCTTACAATTTGATGATCATTTTGAATATGAACATCATAGGTTTTGCATTAGACATACAAATTTTAGATCTAATGTAATGTTTACTCTGAGTAAATATGTTATCTTTTGTGCAAAATATATGACATTTATATTCAAAATATTCCTGGTCTTACAAGGAATCCAGCAATGTCAATTACATTATCCTAACTTTAGTTTGAGGTATTATTTATTACTATACCCTAAAATCTAGTGTTTTCCCCCAAACATTTCTCAGAGAGGGAAGAGCCAGCGAGTGTAAGAAGAGGGGGAGGGAGTTGAGTCCATCATTTGAATGGACATTAACTTGGCGACTGTATTTCTCTATTTCTCTTAAATATTAATTGTGTGCATGTACCATCATAAAATTAAGATGTTATTTTTACTAGAACATAGGTATTGTGTCGGCAAAAGTGGAGTTTGGGGGTCGGCCCGGTCTCTATTTCAATTAATCCCATATGTTATGTTGTTCACTTTACGCATTTCTCACTTTACGCGGGCCTCCGTGGGTCAATTGGTTTCAATTGACCGCGTAAAGTGAGGGTTCACTGTACATTTCTTTGTACATGAGTAAAAGTGTACCCCCCTGGTCAGCAAATGTTATTTGCGGATTTGGCGATTCACGGCCATTTTGAGAACCTAACCCCCGCAAATTTGAAAGGCATACTGTACATCAAAATCTGTCACTAAATACAATACAGGACAGTACAGTATATGTTTTGTGGCATACTAAGACATTGTCTGATGCTGTCAACATTTCTGCAATTATTCCAGAGCTTGCAGCTACAGTACTTTTCCATTCTTTATTTTGTCAATCACTTCAAATCATCTTCAACCTTTGATGGCAATGTAGTTGCAGTGTTGCATCTATGCTGCTGTGCTGTCAGGATGAGTAGCGACTTTGAAGCTTTGTTGGTTTGATGTCGGTGGCAGAAGTCACACAGCAGTTATGAGCGCGAGTGGAGGGAAAGCGTCCCCGCTGTATTTTTGCTCGGCATCGTACAGTACAGTATGTCTCAATAAGGTTTGGTTATTGTACATACAGTACCCTGGGTATTATCACTGTTGCACCTTTATGATAAGAGATTATTAAAATAAATTAATAAACTACTTACCTGAAGTAGTAGACATCAAACTTGCCAGCAGTAGCTCCAGTTGTGCGTTGAACTACTACTCTTGACCAGCCATCTGGGGTCGGTACCTCACCAGTATCTGGCATAACTGTCACAACAAGTGAAGCATTAGTCAGTACAGTACACACAAACATAAAGGTAACATGTGCAGTCCAAAACTTTCTGAAATCTGAGTCAATTTCATTATACAGTATTTATGGTAGATAATACACTGAATATATGATCATTTTTACTAGGGTAAGTACTGTATGTATGTGTAATGATTAAAGGCAAGACCCAGGCTGCTTAGCACCTCAGAGTCAGGCGCCATGCCGATGCTTACCTTTCTGAGTCTTTAGTGTACATCTTATCATATATTTCACCTGCAAAATGATTATGTTATATTTCATAAAACTACCTGCGGAATACAGTCATGAGCCGGTTAACGTCCAACCGAACAACGTCCGATCGCATATACGTCCGTGGCAAAAAAAAAAAAAAAACCACTTTCGTGACGCCTGCTGGACCACCACTCCACAACCCCCTGACGGAGACACGATGATCCTTCCCATACTGGCCAGATATTATGTGTTAAAGGAATATCCTCCCTTCCTTAGGCTTTAGTAAGCCCCTTTATCATATTTATTTATACAGTCATCCCTTGGTTATTGCGATTTTCGCTATCACGCCTCCATCAAAATCTGCACACCTGCCATTATAGCGTATCACGCATTTGCCTCCAGGTGTAATGTTAACCTACATCTATTGAGGATAAAATCTTTCACCTACAAATTGACAATAACACATTTGCTGTAATCAGACATACAGTAAAAGTCCAAAAATCCGGATGCCAGAAATCCGGACCACCCGAGAATCTGGACTTTTTGAAAACTATTTTTTTTTTTTTAGCGGGCTTTTGTGTGTATGTGCGCATGAGTGAGCGCCACAGCTGCACAGCGACAACAAGCGACCACGTGGTCGCCACTTTAAAACGAGCAATCAAACTGTGACAACATACAGTATATACTCGTCTATAACCCCCCTCGTTTATAGGTCGACCCTGATTTTTTGACCAAGAAATCGTTAATTTATGATATTCCTCGTTTATAGTTCGACCCACGGTTTTTAGGGTAATGGAACAACAAAACCTTCAGTAAAAACGCTCTACGTCCTATAAACTGAGGCTCGCCGTGCCTGAAACACCGAGTGGCGAAGGCAAATTGTTTACCATTTATTTTTACGACACTTTACACTGAAACGAGGGTAGTTTCAACAAAAATATTGTATATTTCCATTCAAGTATTTATTCAAATCAATTAGGAGGGAATATTATTGTAATACAACAGTGTTTTAACTAAACCATTCGAAAAGCGATTACGGTAACATCTTTCGAACGAAAGAAAGCGAAAGTCATTGTTTTCGTCACGATTTTATCCCACTTTCCACTGTAATACGTAAGTAATTTCAGCAAAAATATTACATTTCCGTGAATGTATCATATCAACCACAGTATGAATAGAATATCATTGTAATATAACAGAATTTTAACCGGAAACTATTAAAAAAACGAGTAACATATCAAGAACATCGGAAGCTTAGGTAAAGTCTTTTGTTTTCGTCATGTATTTTATCCTATTTTACATTGAAATACATCACGTTTCAGCAAAACTACTATTTATTTCCGAGAATATATTCATTCAGGCGCAGTTTAGGTAAAATATACGTGTGATGTAATAGTTTTTTAACTGAAAACGATTCGAAAAACACGTACTCTCTAGCCCTGTTCAAGGAGAGGACTGGGAGAAGCTGTTTGGTGCTGCAGACGATGACAAGGAAAATGATTTTGATGGATTTTAATGAAAATATTCTGAAATATGGTATCGTAGTATTTATTCAAGTCAATTAGGATAGAATATTACTATAATACAACAGTTTTTTAACTGAAAACCATTAGAAAAGCGATTACGGTAACATCTTTTGAACGAAAGAAAGCGAAAGTCATTGTTTTCGTCACGATTTTATGCCACTTTCCACTGTAATACGTATGTCATTTCAGCAAAAATATTACATTTCCATGAATGCATTATATCAAGCACAGTATGAATAGAATACCATTGTAATATAACAATATTTTGAGTACTACTCTTTCCATTTACAGAGTACTGTACAAGCCCATAATAATGGCTCCTAAAGTAGATAAACTTTGTTGTGTGAAGAGAAAGAAGAACACGTTGAAATTGAGTGACAAACTTGAAATAATTAAAAAACTAGAACGTGGTGTGAGCAATACTGTTCTAATGGAAACATACGACATTGGAAAGTCTACAATTTATGATATAAAAAAGGCAAAGAATAAAATTCTAGAATTCACAGCTTTTTCTTTAAAACTGCTCGTTTTGATAAATGAAGCATGCTATATTTGCTAATGAATAAACTATCAAAATGTACCTGTTCATCTCTTCTTTATTCCTCCTTAATTTGAATTTTAAAAGTACTGCCTGAGAATCCGGAAAATATGAAAATCCGGACCGACCCAATACCCAAGCAGTCCGGGTTTTTGGACTTCTACTGTATCTAGTTGCCTCAACAATTGGGTTGCAATTTCAAATTCTGTGTCATTACTAAGGAATAACGAAGTCTCTGGTGCACTCTAAGATTGAGAGAAAACGAAGGACTCAGGTGTCCTGATGTGAGAGAAAACGGACTCCTATGATGGGGGACTCAAATAAAGAAAGACATAGCTACATGTTTTGTGGACTACAGTATTAAGCGTACCCTTTTCATCACTTTGTAATAAGCCTAGCCATGCCTGTGTGTGTTTATGATATTTACCATAACTTTATATATATCTTTAGTGGGTTTAAATGGTCGTAAAATGGGAAACTTGGGGTTGGGTCTTGGGTGCCTGGAACCAATTAGAATAAATCCCATAGATTCTGTACTTTTGTTATCACGCACTCGGATAGGGTCCCAATTAGACATGATAACCAAGGGATGACTGTACTGTATATACTTGTGACACTTGCCAGTTGCTTCTGGTGTTATGGTACAGGGGTACCTAGTGACAGCACTAGGATCCCACTTCCTCTATCAAGGAATAAGCAAATGAAATTGAAATTGAAAAAAAAACATTCAAATAATGGGACGTAGCAAACGTAAGTGGCCCTAAAGCGGGCGCAGTCACGTTTGTATCACGTATGCATCGTGTATTCTTATAGATTATGCTGCCAGGCGTATTATGTTATTTTATTAGCCTTCCTAACCTCTGTGTTTCATTAGTTGTGTACGTATATATAGTGAATTTAGTCAATATTGTACAGTACAAGTACACTGCAATACAGTGGTCCCTCGGTTAACAATGGACCTAAGTGCAAACCTGTACTGTACATGTACTAAATGATTACGGTACTAAAATTGTTATGTCTATTGCAAATATAGATTGTTTATACAGGTATTAAAATAAATCACTATCTTACAAGAATCCCAGCAATGTAAGTTATATTCACCCAGGTCGTTTGGGTGGCAAATTATGAGAAGAGCTTAGTCACTCTTAAGGAATGATAAATAAACACGCAGGCCTTCAGTGCCAACTGTCAAATCATATCGCCTCACCTCCCCCCCCCTCCCTCGCTCTCCCCCATCTGCCCAAGCCAGGGTTTTAGGCCTTAAGTTTTTCATGTAATATCTCAGACTATAGGAGAATATAATTTGTTGCTGAAATCCTTGCAAGACAGAGATTAATTTGAATATAAACGTCATACATTTTGCTCGAGATAAAAACTGTAGTACATTAGTGTACAGTACTGTAGTACATTTTATAATATAAAGGTTTTTAACTGTATTTTTGGGTAGATTTACATAAATTTCTTCATTTATTTTTATCCATTTACATGCACACACCATACTAAAAGAAACGTAAAAGAAATAAATTACCTTAATGCAAAGCTGGACTGCACGTGTACTAATTTGATTACGGTACTAAAATTTTTATGTCTAGTGCAAATTATAGCTTGTTTATATTTAAATTAATCACTATCTTACAAGAATCCCATCAATGTAAATTATATTCACCCAGGTCATTTCACTGGCTTTTTATAAGAGTGAAGCTTTAATCACTTAAGAACTAATAAATAAACACGCGTTAGACCTTGGGCGCCAACTGTCAAACGTACTACTGTACCTCACCTCCCGCTCCCCTCCCCCCACGCTCCCTCACTTGCTCCCTCCCTCCCTAGGTAGTAGGTAACTACCAAGCAGGGAGTTCAGAAATTGTCAAGTGGTCGCCCGCTAACTTATTTGAACCACCCAAGTGTGCGGCCACCAAAGAAATGATTCGGGAGATGACTCGCTTCATGACTGATTACACTCAGGACCACTTCCTCGCCCCCCTAGCTCTTCAAATACTGGCAATAATACCACATCTATTTTGTCAGAGGACACACACAAAGGCTAAGCACAAAGAAAATGTGGCAGCAATGAAGAGAAGATTGACAATGTGGCAGACTGGGGCCCTAGATGATCTCCTGTGTGAAGCAAGAACACTGCAGGAGAGACTAAAATTTACGGGTGACGGAAAGCAAAACACCGATGACGTGGCAAGAAAATTTGGAAACAAAATGCGTGTGGGAAAAGTGTCTCTCGCGGTAAGATCTCTCACACAGGAATCCTCCGGTGGAGTGATGCCAATAAACAGAGAGACATTAAAACTATTGAAAGAGAAACATCCCCCTGCAAGCGAAGATGAAGGCATCAGGTTCCAGGGTGACTATATCCCACCAAATGCTGTCCTGTTCGAGAAAATAACAGGAGAGATGGTGTGGAAAAAGGCACTGAAGACTCGAGGAGGAGCCGGCCCTTCAGGTCTGGATGCAAACGGTTGGAGAGTCATCCTCAGCACAAACAAGTTTGGCCCTGTAGCAAGCGATCTCTGCACTGCCATTGCCGCCCTTGCAAGAAAGCTTGCATCCTCTTGCTGCCATCACCTCCAGGCTCTGACGGCCTGCCGCCTTATTCCTCTGGAAAAGAAACCAGGATGTAGACCTATAGGGGTGGGGGAAGTGCTGAGGCGGATCATCGGAAAGTGCATAATGGAGGTGGTAAAGGACGATGTCAGGGCAGCAGCAGGGAACCTACAAGTGTGT